ACTGAAATTAATGGATTAAGTGTTTTTCAAATTGGCATTGTGCATAAGATTTGAAAAGATGAGAAAAATATTTTGAGTATGACATGACATATGCATTCATCTCATAAGACTGTATAAAATGTATTTGATGCTTTGTTAGATGTCATTATGAATTGTTTAATTATTTGATTCAGTTGATTATGAGATAATTGAATGGATTAAAAATGATGTCATGTTGGTATTGAAGCATGTTTATTTATTTAAGTTAACTGGTTGTAGTTAATTAAAGAAATTAGATTTAAGAGATTATGTGATAAAACCATATGATTTTTGACATGATATGATTTCACATATATGTATGAGTATCTTTGTCCCGCATATCTTCTAATGTTTTAATATGAGATTGCTTGGTGCGCTAGTGGTTGCTCACCCCTACCTGTACATGTGTACAGGGAATGCTTTTCGATTTGAAGATCAACAATGGTTTTTACACATTTCATAAGTGTAATGTTGTGATGGATTGTACTACTTCATTTGTTGTTTGGCTGAGTGCTATTTTTTTTTTTTTTATAAGAGTAGTGTCCTCTCTTTTATTTGTAAGTCTCAGGGCATTTTTTATTTGTATGTAAATATCATTGTTGTATAACGAAAGGGAATATGTATATTAATTTTTCATCATTTCATCAAGGATGAATGTTATTTGTAAATGGACTTAATTAATGAATATTGGTAAGGTTATCCGAGTAATAAAATACAGGGCGCGATACAATGTATGGTCCAAATTCATACAAGATATCATTGTGATGAGATATTTGTATAACTTAATGAATTGTTTATAATTCTTTTTTTAATTTTAAAAAATTGTATTAGAGCATTGTATTAATCATTGACTTACTGATAATGAGGCAAAAATAGATAATTAGATAAAAAATTAATAATTACTAAATTGGTCCAATTGATTACACTAAATTCACCTAAATTGGCTTATTTTGGCCTTGAATTTTTACTTTATCTGAAATTGGTCAATTGATTACAATCGTTACATTTTTCTAATTAAAATACGCACATGAGTAATGTGTCAAAAAAAAAAAGATCAAAAACAAAAAACGATGTGTCATGTTCTAAAGCAATATTATAAACTTGATCAATTTAGTGACTTAATTTCAACCAATTCAATAATTATTTTCTATATAAAAAAATCTTAACAACGTATTCAATTAAACCAAATTGACGCAAAATCTAAAATAAGAATAAAAATTGAGCCAATTGAAGCTGTAAAGACTAAAATGACATAAGCAACAAAATGTATAGACTACATGTGCAATTTTCCCTAAAATATATTATTAATGTGACACTCAAAAGTGAAACTTGTATAATTTGTGGAAAAGACTATGTGTGTTTACTATATGCACCTTGCCACAAAAGAAGAAATAACATAATTCCATACATTCTACGGCATAACCAAAAAAAGAAAGACATAACCCAAACACACATGAGGTATAACCAAAGATCTCATGAGTTAAACTAAAATAATTTCATAACTAAATACAAAATTTTTCATAACTAAAAAAAGAAAATGACATAATTAAGAGTATATGGTACAACCTTTCAAGGGTATTGTAGACCCCCATTTTTGACCGTCCTCAGACTTGGACGTCACCGTTTGAACACTCAGTGATTATCCATGTTTGTGTTCGTTTGGAGTTCCCGGAGGTCTGGCTCGCGCGCCTTGCCTCAGGATCTCCGAACTCGACTGTTAGTATCTGTTTTGCACCAAACACTTGTGTTTTGCCTTCGAGGGGCAGGGAATGCCTTGTGAGGCATCCCACACACCACCGGCAGTGGCTAGAGGTCACCGGCTGGTTTTTGCTGCCATCGGCACTATTTGTTGCCGGTCGCACCTTTTGTTGCAGGTCGGCACTATTTGGTGCCGGTCGGCACTCTTTTTTGCCAAAATGACATTTTTGGCCAGCCGACTACTGTGCATCTGCTTTTGCAGATATTTTAAGACAGCTGTCTTGCTTTGGCTCCCCTCCATACACGTGTATGGAGGGATTTCTCTCTTGGAAGCTTGTCTTGTAAGCTTTACAAGACAATAGGCTTCTATAAGAGAAGCCTTGTCTCTTGGCTTTAGGGTTAGAGACTTTAGACATTTTAGACAAAAAACACAGAGAGAAGCTCTGGTTTTTAGGGTTAGGATCCATACATATCCTATCTCTCTTTTTCTCTCTTTGTGCTCTAGGTGTTTTGTGTCTTACTATTGCACACAACACCTAGTGTTTCACCTTCCTCTAGCTACTGAGGTTCTAAGGGACTGATTTTAGTGTTTTGGTTGTTGGATTCAAGCCAAGGAAGGCCATTGGAGCATCATTGTTGAAGGAGTCTTCAAGGGTAAGAATCTCACCCCTTTCTCCCATTGCACCTTATTTCTACCTATCTTAGAACTGTTTTTGTGCTTAGTGTATAATACAAAAAAGTTCTGTTTTTTAGCCCTCTTGATTGTTTATTAAGGGTGTTTGTGGTTTGAGGGTGTTTGACCCCTCTTAGGCCTTGAAAGGCTTCATTTTGTGCTATTTTGTGCTAGTTTCGGGACTTTGTGTTTGGGCCTCTTCACCACTGAAATCTTGAGGGATTTCAGTGGTGGATATGGTGCCTTGAAGTCTCCAAAAGGAGAGGGCCACCCCCTCTCCTTGTTGTCCTTGAAATGGACCATTTTTGGCCTCTTGAGAGAGCATCATGTTAAAGTGTGTATTGACCGTGTCTTGGCCGCTTTCCATGCTTAATATGTTGTATTATACCTCTGTTTTTTGTTGGTTTTGGTACACCATGCATGCTTAGCATACCTACCATGTAATGCCATGATATTGCCTTAAGTTGCCTTAGGTTGTTAGCCCTTGTTAGAGCATGTTTTAGGCTTAGTCTTGTGAAGCTTTTGTGCATATTTTGCCATGCTTTAGGTCTGTCCATGATCATTTGGGTCGGATTTGGCATGCATCATATAGCCCCTTTGCTTTGGCTTGTTGGCCTTAAGTATGTGAATGTATAGCATGACATTTTTGCATTGATTTGGTGTTTGGAATCATCCACCCTGTCATTTCAGTCCTATTTGCATGCCTATATGTTTACCTTGGACGCATCTTGATGCTTTGAAAGCTTGTCTTGCATGCTCCATGTTGGTCTTCATTGTGCATGCCTTTGAATTTGAGTCATTTAGATGCCATCTAAGTGGTCTTTTGGGCTTTATTTTATGTGCTAAAACTCTGTTTTTAGTCATTTAGTTCATGCCATGTTTGTCTTGCTAAGTGTAGTTCAATGCTCCATTGGTTTGCTTTGAGCACATGGGCTATTTGTTGCATGTTTGGCTTGATTTTGCTTGGTTTGGCACCATCCTAACATGATTTTCAATGCTTATGTCGCATGCTAATTGTCCATGATTGTCTCCTTTCAAATGTGTTTGAGAGTTGTCCAATTTGTGCCTAAGTGTTGGCCTTTCAACATGCGCATGTGTGCATGTGTATTTGGTTCCTCATTATAGCACTTTGGCCCTTGTTTTAGGCCTAATTAGAGCTGCCTAATCATGTTTTAGACCATTTTTCATCAATTTGTATTGCTCATGTTTGCTTATATGCTTACATAAGTGCCTCGCCATGCCATGTTGCATCCTTAGCTTGCATGCTTAGGTTGTCTTGCATCTTGCATGTATGCCTTGTTCTTGAATTGGTGATGGGAATTGGGCTTGATTTGTGTGTTGGTTTGCATTTCATTTGACATGAAAGTTGCATACTTGATTCTTTGCCATCATGCATGGAAGTGCGTGATTGGTGGTCCGAGAATAGAGACACATGCCCTTTGAGTCACAACATGATAAGGGACATGAATGGTGCATATATGCTTTGAATTGTGCTGCCATGCTTTGCCTTGCCCTCTATTGCTGTCAATTGCAGATTCTGCAGGAACACTTTGCCGGCCGGCAGTGTCAAGTGCCGACCGGCAATCCTTTTTCTTTTTTTGCCGACAGCTTCATTTTGTGCCGATGACCATAACACACTGCCGGTGACAGTTCCATTCAGCCGGTGGCGCTCCTCAGTGTCCAAGAAACCAGTCCTGAGATTTTGCAGCCTCAGAGAAGTAAGGAAGGAAAAGAGAGGCGGCCTATGCATGGCGGTGCGTTTCCGAGCAAGATCCGGGCATGCCCTGCATTTGGCCCTTTCCGAGGCGATATTCTGTTTTCCTAGCTTAATTAGTTTATTAATTAATTAGGCAATTTGTAATATTAATTAGCTCGCGTAGTTAATTAATTTGTATTATTTATTTGGTCCCTCGAGCGAGAGGGAAAATCTATAATAAGTGTGTGTGGTGGTGTGTATGTCTTCCAATCCCCCACTTCTTTCTTCCCTTTTACTTACCCACTTTGATGGTTAGTATTAGGCATCTTTAAAATTAGCATACTTTATGCTATGCATGTGTGCATTCATGCATTTGTATTGCATGCATTAGGCTCGGTACATCATGCTAATTGCATTTGTACTTCAAGTTCGAACTGAATACATGTTATTTGTGCATCTTCACATGTCATTCATAGACTAGCGGAGCCTAACTCTAGTGACATTTTGCATGCGATGCATTAGGCACTTAACATGAACTAGGACACGCATGTTTGCTAACTAGTTTATATTTTTGGCACGGAGTACGATGTAAGTAT